GCGGTACCGTCCGGAGGGCGGGCTTCAGGGAGGGCGGGCAGCCGGCGGCGGCGGGGAGGGGGCCGCTTTATGGGGCGGGCGGCAGGTAGGAAGGAGGCGCTGGTGAGTCAGGCAGCCGCATTCCTGTGCACCGCGCGCACCTGTCGGGGCAGGAGCCGGGAAGCCACTGCCGCCGGGCCCGCCCCCCGGAAAAGGCAGCGGCTCCCGCGGCGTCCAGCCCCCTGCCCCGACCGACGGCGGCAGGGGCCGGAGAGGAGCCACCCCCTCTCTCTTGTCCAGCCCCGGGGCTGGCACTCCCCTACCCCTCCAGCTCCAGACTCGGGTGCTGGCTGCCCCAGGCTGGGGGTGGCCTCAAACCCTGCCCGGACCGCTGCCCTCTCTCCTCCAGACTCCGGGCCTTGAGCCACCGCACTGCCCCGACAGCGACGGCATGTGCAAACCACCTCCCTCCGTTGCCAGCGAAGGAGGGGCACAGGGATGACCCCAAGCCAGCTCTGTCATTCACCCTCAGCCTCTCCCAGCCGCACGTGTGTCCAGAGGGAGATGGAGCAAACACTGGTTCTCCGAGTACCTTCAGGCAAGCTACTCAAACCTCTTTAAAACATGAATGATACCCATCAAGAGGCCTGCACCTACCTGGTATGGAGTTGGCACTCGGATGGTTATAGATGTTCTTGACGGATCTGACCTCTCCAGTCTTCTGCGGTCAGTCTTTGAAGTGCTGCTGGTTAAATATGTTCAAGTTGGAACCTCTCAAGTTGCTTCATGACCCCCAACTTGGTCTATTTGTCTAGTCCCACCTGCCAACCATGCCAGACATCACCTGATGGCTGGCAGTGCCGCTCCCATCCCCGCAAGCCACGCAGCTTCAGGCTACCGTGTTTTTGCATCAGGCTGGTGATCTCTCTGCTTAGGATGTCTCCATCTCTCCCTGCAGCCAGCCTGATTTATCCTTCATCCTTGAAGGCATTGTGCTGATGTCGCATGCTCTGGAGAGCCTCCTTGACCTCCCTGAACCCTCTGTTGGGTTCTGTGTCCCTTTAAACCCCCGGGGCATGGCTTTTTCATGGCATTTGCCACCTTAGTTAAAATGATCTGTTTAGGAGTCTCTCTGCCTCATTGGTCTGTGAGCCCTGAGGACAGACCCTCTCTAGCACATCTTTTTATCCCCAGCATCTAGCACAGTGCCTCGCACATAGCAGGTGCTCAATAAAAGTGGCTGGCTGAACCCAATGGGATTGCCTGTAGCCTCCCTGAGCCTCAGTGTTCTCATCTGTAAACAGAGTCCTGTTCTGCCAACTCTCAGAGTGATTGTGGGAGTAGCTGGAACTGGACGTGAAAGAGCTAGGGGTGCACGAATGCTCACCACAACTGTGTGAGCCACAGTTGCCCCTTGGCCACCTAACCCAGTCATGTCTGAGAGCTGCTGGGCACAGGCGGGGCTCTCAGAGAGGCTAGCTCCTGGATTGGGAGCACTGTGGCAGGAGCCCTGGTGAAGTACTGGGGTCTGGGAGTGTCAGGCCAGCACAGGTGCCTAGTGGACCTGAGCTAGTCCAACAGGTGCCCAGTCCACCCCAGGAAGGAGGAGCTGCAAGACCAGCCTGCCACTGCCAGAGGACTGGGATAGGAGATATGCACCCCTCTGTGGGTAGGGGGCTGAGGCACTCTTCTAGAGGAGACTCAGTCCTGGGGGTGGTAATGCCACAGACGCCACTCTGCCCAGCAGGCCCTTTCCTTTCCTCATCGCCAGACTTCTAAGAATGAGGGGGGGCCAGAGTCCTGCAGCAGATGAGAGGTCTGCTCCAATGAGGCCCAGAGAAGACAAGCCACAAATTTCCTCAATTTTCCCAGAGTTCCTCGTGTCATCAACCAAGGTGTGGACCTTGGGGGTCCATGAACCATCTGTAATCATGTGCAAAACTCCAAGTGTATCTGATAGAAGAATGTGGGTTTCCTTAGTTTAC